ATAAGTTGGTGCAAGGCCATAAATACATTTAAAAGTCAAAAGTAAAATCTTATAATCAATACGCAAAGAACCCGGCAGCCAGTGCAGTTCATAAAGCGCTGGTGTAATGTGAGAAAACTTTCCAATGCCAAGAATAAGTCTTGCTGCTGCGTTTTGTACACGTTGTAATTGCCAACTTGATCAATCCATTCAACTGTTGTCAAGCTTATCATGTGTTTTTCAAACCACAGACTTTTTGCCCATTGGTGCAAACTTAAGTACAAGGTGCACGTAGAGCAATAAAACGCACAAAAATTTGGAAAATGATGTGTTTATTGTTTATGTTGTTACTCTTTCCCAATCTTACTGCCCACAATGATCTATTAAAATTAGGGAGTGTGTGCCGAAATTACAGCATCATCTTTTTTAGATTTAGGGGGAGATACTTGTCAAGGCGAGTAGCTTATCCTTCAAATGATAGTTTCAATCCCTTCATTATTTCAAACAAGGAAGCACACATTGTGAATGGGAACATAAATTCAGAAGCTACTAAAGTCTTGAAAGAAAAACACAATGCAATATGTGATAGCACTGATAGTATTTGTACATATATGTATGAAGGGTCAAATGTGAGATTACTTTCGTAATTATTGTTTGATAAATGTAGGTAAATTTTCTTTTGCAGTTGATTGCTTTCTTGAGCTATGTTATTTTGTTTTTCGCAATCATCTTCAGAACATTACATGTAATGATTTTTTTCAAGTTATCTATGAGTTGTGCAATCAAAGGGAAAATCTTGGTGCTGTTGAGATCAAGCGAAAGCCTGTATGGTCACTGATCAGAGGTCGTTGTCCATCATTTTCTACCTTAGGCTTCAGCAAAAATTTTGCATTACTGAGTCCGAGGGAAACACCAACCAAGATATCTGGATCCTGGCTTTCACAGAGCAACTAGAAGCCCTGCTGGCTGGATCTAATTTGTCGTTAAAAGATAAAATCAATGACATGGAAGTATAGCTGATGTCTCTAGAAGATGTTTGTTTGGTTTACAATGTCCAAACAACAAACATGACAAAGTTCATTTCCTTTAAATGTCCAAAAGAAAATTCTGATTAGCAGGCAAATATAAGTCTGTACAAAACGCATTTCTACATTTTGTGTGAACAGTGCAATACCCTTGTGTGACCATTACAATGTACAATTTGATTGTTTGTTCTCAGAGGACGTTATATAATTGAAATTGTTTAATACCGTTAACGTCGGACTGGCCCAAGCATCCCAAAGTAAACAGTTTGTGCATGTCCTTTGCCAGCTACTCGACTACGAAGGACGTTATATAATTGAAATATTTTGTTACTGTTTATGCTCATATGTTAGAGATTTGACTAATCTATACAACAAGCCTTGGAACAAAATGCACGTATGTTTCTGTAAATCCTCAAACCAAGCTGTTTGTCAATGAAATGTAGACTTCTATTGTTCTTTGTCCAAGGACATTATATAATTGAAATTGTTTCTGTTTATAGCTTAAGGTGGCTCAAAACAGTTTTCAGCACTTAGATTTAGATGGGTCGTTATAACCACTCTTTACCATTTGATGCTACAATCATGGTATCAAAAAACTGCCCAATCATTGGTGAACACGTTGTTATCTTTTTCGTGACGCAATAGGGTACCATAGCAAGAGTATGACCTCCTAAAAACACTCTTAATTACAGCTTTAGGGGCTTATAATTCAAAAATGGCGCGGTGAAA